AACGAAGCAATAAAAATGACAGGCTATGAAATAAAGACAACGAAGGATTTTTGGGAAATCCTCAAGAATAGCTCCCTACAGCAATTAAGCCATATAAAATGACAGGCAATGAAATATATAGAGCCAAGGATTTTAGGAAAAGTCTAAAGTAGAGCTCCTTACAGCAACGAAGCAATAAAAAATGACAGGCAATGAAATAAAGAGAACGAAGGATTTTTGGATAATTCTGAAGCATAGCTCTCTACAACAACGAAAGAATAAAAATGACAGGCAATGAAAAAAGGAGAACGAAGGATTTTAGGGAGATTGTAAAGCATAGCTCCCTTGAACAACGAAGCAATAAAAATGACAGGCAACGAAATAAAGAAAGCGAAGGATTTTAAGAAAATTCTAAAGCTTAGCTCCTTACAGCAACTTAGTAATAAAAAATGAAAAGCAATGAATTAAAGAGAACGAAAGATTTTTGTGAAATTTTAAAGCAAAGCTCCTTACAGCAACAAAGCATTAACAAATGACAGGCAATGAAATAAAGAAACCGAAGGATTTCAAAAAAATTCTGAAGCATAGCTCCCTACAGAAACTTAGCAATAGAAATGACAGGCAATGAAATAAAGAGGGCCAAGTATTTTAGGAAAAGTCTAAAGCATAGCTTCTGACAGCAACGAAGCAATAAAAATGACAGGCAATGAAATAAAGAGAACGATGGATTTTTGTGAAATTTTAAAGCATAGCTCCCTACAGCAACTTAACATTAAAATAGAGAGGCAAAGAAATAAAGACAACGAAGGATATTTTGGAAATTCTGAAGCATAGCTCCCTACAGCAACTTAGCATTAAAAATAAAGAGGCAATGAGATAAAGAGAGTGAAGGATTTTAGGAAGATTCTGAAGCATAGCTCTTTACAGCAACGAAGAAATAAAAAATGACAGACAATGAAATAAAGAGCACGGAGGATTTTTGGATAATTCTGAAGCATAGCTCCCTACAGCAACGAAACAATAAAAATGACAGGCAAGGAAATAAAGAGAGCCAAGGATTTTAGGAAAAGTCTAAAGTATAGCTCTTTACAGCAACGAAGCAATAAAAATGACAGGCTATGAAATAAAGACAACGAAGGATTTTTGGGAAATCCTCAAGGATAGCTCCCTACAGCAATTAAGCCATATAAAATGACAGGCAATGAAATATATAGAGCCAATGATTATAGGAAAAGTCTAAAGTAGAGCTCCTTACAGCAACAAAGCAATAAAAAATGACAGGCAATGAAATAAAGAGAACGAAGGATTTTTGGATAATTCTGAAGCATAGCTCTCTACAACAACGAAAGAATAAAAATGACAGGCAATGAAAAAAAGAGAACGAAAGATTTTAGGGAGATTCTAAAGCATAGCTCCCTTGAACAACGAGGCAATAAAAATGACAGGCAACGAAATAAAGAAAGCGAAGGATTTTAAGAAAATTCTAAAGCTTAGCTCCTTACAGCAACTTAGTAATAAAAAATGAAAAGCAATGAAATAAAGAGAACGAAAGATTTTTGTGAAATTTTAAAGCAAAGCTCTTTACAGCAACAAAGCATTAACAAATGACCGGCAATGAAATAAAGAAACCGAAGGATTTCAAAAAAATTCTGAAGCATAGCTCCCTACAGAAACTTAGCAATAGAGATGACAGGCAATGAAATAAAGAGGGCCAAGTATTTTAGGAAAAGTCGAAAGCATAGCTTCTGACAGCAACGAAGCAATAAAAATGACAGGCAATGAAATAAAGAGAACGATGGATTTTTGTGAAATTTTAAAGCATAGCTCCCTACAGCAACTTAACATTAAAATAGAGAGGCAAAGAAATAAAGACAACGAAGGATTTTTTGGAAATTCTGAAACATAGCTCCCTACAGCATCTTAGCATTAAAAATATAGAGGCAATGAGATAAAGAGAGTGAAGAATTTTAGGAAGATTCTGAAGCATAGCTCCCTACAGCAACTTAGCATTAAAAATAGAGAGGCAATGAAAAAAAGAGAGTGAAGGATTTCAGGGAGATTATAAAGCATAGCTCCTTACATCAACAAAACAATAAAAATGACAGGCATTGAAATAAAGAGAACGAAGGATTTTAGGAAAAGTCTAAAGCTTAGCTTCTTGCAGCAACGAAGCAATAAAAATGACCGGCAATGAAATTAAGAGAACGAAGGATTTTAGGAAATTTCTAAAGTAAAGCTCCCTTGAGCAACGAAGCAATAAGAAATGACAGGCAACGAAATAAAGAAAGCCAAGGATTTCAATAACATTCTAAAGCATAGCTCCCTACAGCAACTTAGAAATAGAAATGACAAGCAATGAAATAAAGTTGGCCAAGGTTTTAAGGGAAAGTCTAAAGCATAGCTTCTTACAGCAACGAAGCAGTAGAATGACAGGCAATGAAATAAAGAAAACGAAGGATTTTTAGGAAATTCTAAAGCATAGGTCCCTACAGCAACAAAGCAATAAAAAATGACAAGGAATGATATAAAGAAAGGAAAGGATTTGATGGAAAATCTAAAAGATAGCCCCCTACCGCAAATTAACAAAAAAATGACAGGCAAATAAAGAAAGAGAGGAAAGGATTTTATAGAAATTCCAAAGCAAAGCTCCCTACAGCAACTAAGCAATAAAAATCGACAGATAACTAAATAAAGAGAGCGAAGGATTCTAGGGAAATTTTGAAGCATAGCTCTCTACAGCAAATTAGCGATAAAAATTGCCAGGCAATGAATTAAAGAGAGCGAAGGATTTTAGGAAAATTCTAAAAAAAAGCTCCCTACAGCAACTTAGCAAAAAAAATTGACAGGCAATGAAATAAAGAAAGCGATGGATTTTAAGAAAATTCTGAAGCATAGCTCCCTACATCAACTAAGCAAAAAAAATTGACAGGCAATCAAATAAAGAGGTTTAAGGACTTTAAGAAAATTCAAAGGCATAGCTCCGTACAGCAACGAAGCAATAAAAAATGACAGGCAATGAAATAAAGAGAGCCAAGGATTTTGAGGAAATTCTAAAACAAAGCCCCCTACAGCAAGGAAGCAATAAAAATCAACAAGCAATAAAAGAAAACCAACGAAGGATTTTATGAAAATTCTGAAGCATAGCTCTCTACAGCAAATTAGCAAAAAAAATTGACAGGAAAAAAAAGAAAGGGAGGAAAGGATTTTATGGAAAATCTAAAAGATAGCCCCCTACAGCAACTTAGCAAAAAAAATTGACAAATAACGAATTAAAGAGAGCGAAGGATTCTAGGGAATTCTGAAGCATAGCTCCCTACAGCAACTTAGCATTAAAAAATGACAAGCAATGAAATAAAGAGAACGAAGGCTTTTTGCGAAGTTTCAAAGCAAAGCTCCCTACAGCAACTTAGCAAAACAAAATGGACAGGCAAATAAAGAAAGAGAGGAAAGGATTTTATGGAAATTGTGAAGGGTAGCTCCCTACAGCAACTTAGCAATAAAAATTGACAGGCAAGGAAATGAGAACATGAAGGCTTTTAAAATAATTCTAAAGCAAAGCTCCCCACAGCAACGTAGCAATAAATATTGTTAGGCAAAAACAAAGAGGAAGGAAGTATTTTAGGGCAACTTTAACGTAAAGCTCTCTACAGCAAATTAGCAAGAAAACATGACACGTTGGTTTTTAGAGAAACTCATAAGCAAAGCTAGTGATAGTAAGTGATAATCATAAATCAATACGCAAGGAAATAAAAATAAAAGTGTTTTTTAGAGAAGTTTCATAACAGAGCCACCAGCAGTAAGTTTGAAATAATTTTATGAGGAAGGAAACAAAATTACAGAAGAATTTTAGAGAAATGTTTTTACAAAGCTTACAACATTAAGAAACTTTTCATCAAAAGCAACGTAAAATAAGTCATGAACAGGATTTAATTCTCAAGGAAAATATGATTTTTGGATTATAATGGTAGTTCTTAAATAAAAGTTTTCCAAAAAAATGTAATGTCTGCACTACAGAATAAAAGGTCTGCAGTTAAGAATAAATGCAGAACGATCCACGCTATTTAAGTTTGTAATTTTGGAATTTAAAGGAAAGGGAACCGACATACCTGCAAAAGTCATACAAGTTTTTATGAAGGTTTTAGTCCAGATCCCATTCATATCCAATTTCTAGTTGTTCAAAGCATCAACTGGCTAGATTGATGGAGCTTTGAAGAGGAATTTGTGAGCCCTAGGATTTTAAGAAAAAAAACATTGGAAGTAGTTAAAAAGATATTTCAATAAAGTTCACGAAAATGCAAGTTTCTTTAATTTTGTCCTAAAGAACAGAGTCCTGAGCAAAAGCAAGACCTGAAGGACCGAAGAAACCAAACAAACTGTTTATGATTAAAAGAGATCTGGAGAACGTTATCGACAAAGTCTGAAATCAAAAAGTCGTTTCAATCAAAGTATCGAAATCATAGATGGCTTTTTCATTGTTAACATTTTTTCAAAGTTCTAAAAAGCAACAAAATTTTGTTTTCAAAACTGAATTGCCAAAAAATGACATTGATTCAAAAGAGCTAAGAGAGGAGGTTTTCATAAAAAAGGGTAGTATCGTTGCTAAGAGGATATCTTCAAATTTCTTGCAAAAGTAGCATTAGTAGAGGTAATGTCATGGTAATTAAAAGTAACGCATAATGTTTTGCATTGGACTTTAATCATTGGCATCACATTACAGCCTTAGTTTGGAAGAATTCGGAGGAAATTAAACAAGTCAGGATTTTGTCCTAAATTTTTCCCAAACTTTCAATATTTTAGTCAAAGCCTTAAAGTCCACAAAACATTATGCAGCTGTGTCCTACATCAAGCTACGTATGAAGCAGATCAGAAGTGAGGGAGCCAAAATAAGAAATCCACACAGACACGCCCTTTATTAAAGGTTACACCCAAAAATGATGTAAAGAATTAGTTACTACATTATCTGCAGACGGAAGGAAAGTTTTGTAATGCATTCATTCTGTGGACTAATGCATAAATATTAATAACATTATCTTATGGTAAACGAAATTTTATTATTGAAATTAAATTAATGGCAATCTAGGCCTAGTTATCTATGAAAAAATAATTTTTTTTGCGAGCAATTCAAGACTGTCTACTCTTGATTTGAAAATACAAAACAGTAGAAGAAAGTGGGTAACTTTGTGGTTTTGTTTGAGGATGTCAGGGACTTTTATCCTGCCAAACTGAATGTGAAACTGCCAAAAACTATAACGATTTAATGAACATCAAACGATGAACTTCAAAACATAGAAAGGACACGATGGACATTCATCGACTTTTTTCGGTCTAACGTAAGAGTTTACAAAGACTACGTTAAGGATTGAAACATCCCAGGAAATAATGTTACGAGAAGCATTGCTGTCTATTAATTGAAATAGACCAACGAGAAACATAATTTGAAAGTAAGACTTTAATCAGAATTATTCAAAGATACGTTTAGTCAAAAGTAAAGGGGACAGGAACAAAAACCTTGTTTCAAAACGCAGAAGAGACAATATGGAGAGAGGTCGACTTTATCAATAGGGGGTAAGACCATACTTAGATTAGATAAAGAACTGAAACATCCAAGGAATCAATGGCACAACAAGCATTGCTGTCTATCAATTGAGATAGACCAACGAGAAACATGAACTTTATCTAATAAAAGGTAAGAGTCTAATCAGTATTATTCAAAGATAAATTTAGCCAACAGTACAGGAGACAGAAACGAAAACCTTGTTTTTAAACGCAAAACAGACACGATGGAAAGTCGTTGACTTTTTCGGTCTAACAAAAGAGTTCACGAAGATTAGGTTAAGCATTTAAAAATCCCGGGAAATAATGGCATGACAAGCTTTGCTGTCTATTAATTGAGAGAGAATAACGAGAAACATAAACTTTATCAATTTAAATGTTAGATTTTAATCAGTATAATTAAAAAAGAGTTTAGCCAAAAGTACAAAAGACAGGGACAAAAAGCTTGTTTTAAAACGCAGAAGAGACACGACGGAAAGTCGTTGACTTTATCAATAAAGGGTAAGACCGTTCTTAAATTTGCTGTAGTATTAATCTTTTAGAATTCAAATTTAGAGTTGAATCAGAATACTTCCAAAATAAATTTAGCCAAAGGTATAAAGGGTAGAGTCAACAAACCTTCTTTCAGAACGTAGGAAGGACACGATGGTGAATCTTCGACTTTATCTATCAAGGGTAACAGTTTACTTAGATTAGATTATGGATGGAAACATCCAAGGAAAATATGGCAGAACAAGCAATGCTTTCTTTCAATGGATGAACTCAACGAGAAACATAAACTTTTGTAAATTCAAACTTAGAGCCTTATGCAAATAGTTCAAAGATAAATTTAGCCTAAGGTACAAAGGGCAGAGACATCAAAGCTTCTTTCAAAAGTAAAAGGGACACGATTATAAATCATCTTTTCTATCTATCTAAGGTAAGAATTTACTTAGATTCATGTTACTCGATGTAGAGTAAGTATGGATAGAGTTCAGGCTGCAGTGCAGGTGATTCAAAATTGATCTTAATCCCGTGCTTAGGAAAATGTCAATAATTTGTAAACGCAGCAGGCATTCGCTGTTCACCAAAAATCTTCTCATTACCAGAGGGTAAGGGTAGCTAAATATTGTTCTGATTGATTTTACCCTTGTTGATTGATTAGGCGAGGCTATATAGCCCCTTCACTATATCCCCTCTTAGATAAGGAGGAGGGCTTCTTTCTTTTTAGAACATATGATTTCAACTCTTGGAACGATACTGGTTATGACGATCATAGCAAATACTACTTTATCCGGCATTCCAATTCTTTACTTGGATTGAATCAAAAGAAGTGACGTAGATTCACTATGGGACTGGAGTATGCAACCATTCCATTTTCCTTCCGGGTCGGGGTGTTCGTAGGGGGGGGGGGAGTTGTAGATCATGACCAATGATTCACAGATATTATAATAAGAAAAACAAAATAGAAAGTCAATCAGATCGACCTCGAAAAAATTTTGTTTCAGTAGATTGAGGCGAGAAAATCTAAGCACTACATCGCAATTCAATGTAAAAGTATTTAAGGAATTTTAATTCTCCTGAAATAATACTGGGGTTTTGCATTCAATGTATAGGGTCAAATCAGGAGCGGATCCAGACTATAGCAACTGTAGCTCGAGCTATAGTCAAAATCTCCGTGTTTGATTTTCGGAATTCAAAGTTAAGTGTTAATTTTTCCTCTGCTATCAAGCCTCTCAACATTTGAAAGCAGCGGTATAGGTTATCAAATTATTAACAAACATGCATTGCTGGCGGCTCTTGCTAATGGGCATCTGGGGCCATGCACCCTCAAAAAGATTCAAAGGAAATCTATGATATTCATATTTAATTTTAAAGATAGTCTTACTGTGGTTAATTATATAAGTGTGTATCTCTTCTAGAAAAAGCCCCTTGCTATCCCGTCTCGTCCTTAGCCTCGCTTCTGGCCTGCTAGTGCCTTGAGCGATGATGTCATTTTACGGGCAAAGTTTTTTTTGCCCCTAGCCGACATGCGCACAAGCTAAGTTTTGACCTCGAGCATTGCAAAACGCCGTCTGTGATTGGCTCATTTGGATTCGGGGCAAGAAAAATTTTGCCCGTAAAATGACATCATCGCTAAACAACAACCACATCTATTTATGCTTTTTCTTCTGCGCTCCATGACGATCAACATCAAACCATGAATACAGTGAAAAATTTGCAAAGTCGACCTTTCTATCGATTATCGCAATATTGATGGTCTGCCCTCCCAACTGTGAAAGTCACGAGCCGCCACTGGTCATCACTATGCCTCTCCGGATTTGCTCTGGAAAAGGCATCGAAGACAATGAAACCCGTACTATAATTTTTGGCGCGAGCTATAGTGAAGCTATAGTCAGGTTTGAAAATGGCTTTTTAACCAATAGAATATGAGTATCCACGGTATATATCCGCTCTCTGTCCCCTGTAAAGCAACAGTGGACTATAGCTCGTTTTATTGTCGTTAACATTGGCTAATTTTCGGCACAAGGAATTATTTTACATGTTTTGAGAAGTTCAGAATTTCATATGAATCTCTCTGATTATTACAATTGGCCAGTTTCAAGGGAACTTTATTAAAAACAACTCTTGCCCCTTCTGTCAAAGGGCAACAGGGGCGGTTGTACCCCTACACCCCCTTCTCTGGCGTCCCTGGAGATAGAAAAAGGATGTTCGAAGGAATATTTATGAATACGAAGCAACTATAAACACACATGGTTTTATCATTTGCCCATATAGTGGGCGTGTCCCACAAGCAAGGAGGGTGTGGTCCCGATCCCAAACAATTTGAGCTATAGTCACCAAAAATCCTGGATCCGTCCCTGGTCAAATGACGTTTCCACATATATTGCAATCAAAGCTTTAACCAAACGAATTCTAAGTTTGCTCTCTGAAAACAGGTTTTCTTTACAGCCGGCAGGTTTTTGATTTACTGCGTATTTATCGAAGTTGCAGAATACTTAAAATAAGAACCCTATCAAAATTATTCAACAAAGCTTATTCGCTTGACGTTAAGAAGAACAGTCTTGAAGACGTCGTATTTTCTTTCTGATAAGGTAAGATAAAAGCAACACTTTGAAAGGAAATAAGAGAACATATTCGATTACCTCAATTGAACGCAATCAACCTGCGTCCTCTACCTCTGCGTCCAGGCATCGAATGTCTTCTATTTGTCGAAGCTTTACGGTGCAATACAAAATCCAGTATCGAACAAAGTTGAGAAGTTTATAGATCTAGTTGATTGATAATCGTTCAAAGTTTGTAGAAGTCGCAATAGAGCACCATCAAGTAGGCCATCTTGGATTGTATAAACCTTCAAAAACACTGCCGAATTCATTGCAGAATGCCATAGCGAACGATATTATCCTCAAGTTTCCATTAGCAGCATCAAAACTTTGTTATGCATCATACTTAATATCTGGTTTATAATTCAGAATATTGATTATAAAGCAAATGGATTGCTTATTTATGCTCTACGAAAACCTGCGATACTCAAGGGAGATTCAATTTGAATGAACCACAGGTAGTCCAAAGGGGAAACCAACAATTAAAAATATAAGCGGGAGAAGTGTCTCTTGGGAGTTCACAGGCAATTGCTCCTCCGCGACTCCGATAATATCAAATTTGTGTTAAGAAATATCAGCAAATCCATTTTTTTCAAGAAGGGGGGGAGGGGGAGGGGTGCTGTGTCTACTGTCAAGAAAATATCATAAATCCAATGATATTGGAATAAATGGTAGGGTCAGTTTATCAAGCCTTCCATATTGGTATGGTAAAGATGAAAAAATAAGACAATTGGCCTTTTTCATCTTTACCATACAAAAATAAGTCTTTTTCAAATAGCGTCAAAAAACCGTTATAAGTAATGAATTGCACGCTAGAATTGCCTTGATAGATCATTTTAACATTCGGAGACGTTTAAGGGTGTTCTTGATTTTGGTACCTTTGGGTCTTAAAATAAGACCCTTTGCTACCAATATTATGCGATAAATTAAAAGTCTTTTTTAAATAGCGTCAAAAGACCATTTTAGGTTATGGATTGCACGCTAGAATTGCCTTGATAGGTCAATTTGAAATTTGGAGACGTTTAAGGTGTTCTTGTTTTTGGTACCTTTGGGTCTTAAAATAAGACCCTTTGCTACCAATTTTATGCAATAAATTTAAAGTCTTTTTCAAATAGCATCAAAAAACCGTTATGAGTAATGAATTGCACGCTAGAATTGCCTTTATAGGTCATTTTAACATTCGGAGACGTTTGAGGGTGTTCTTGATTTTGGTATCTTTGGGTCTTAAAATAAGACCCTTTGCTACCAATTTTATGCAATAAATTTAAAGTCTTTTTCAAATAGCATCGAAAAACTGTTATAAGTAATGAATTGCACTCTAGAATTGCCTTGATAGGTCATTTTAAAAATCGGAGACGTTTAAGGGTGTTCTTGATTTTGGTACCTTTGGGTCTTAAAATAAAACCATTTGCTACCAATTTTATTCAATAAATTTAAACTCTTTTTCAAATAGCGTCAAATAACCATTTTAGGTTATGAATTGCATGCTAGAATTCCCTTGATAGGTCATTTTAACATTCGGAGACGTTTAAGGGTGTTCTTGATTTTGGTATCTTTGGGTCTTAAAGTAAGATCCTTTGCTACCAATTTTATGCAATAAATTTAAAGTCTTTTTCAAATAGCATCGAAAAACAGTTATAAGTAATGAATTGCACGCTAGAATTGCCTTGATAGGTCATTTTAACATTCGGAGACGTTTAAGGGTGTTCTTGATTTTGGTATCTTTGGGTCTTAAAATAAGACCCTTTGCTACCAATTTTATGCAATAAATTTAAAGTCTTTTTCAAATAGCATCAAAAGACCATTTTAGGTTATGAATTGCATGCTAGAATTGCCTTGATAGGTCATTTTAACATTCGGAGACGTTTAAGGGTGTTCTTGATTTTGGTATCTTTGGGTCTTAAAATAAGATCCTTTGCTACCAATTTTATGCAATAATTTAAAGTCTTTTTCAAATAGCATCAAAAAACCGTTATGAGTAATGAATTGCACGCTAGAATTGCCTTGATAGGTCATTTTAACATTCGGAGACGTTCAAGGGTGTTCTTGATTTTGGTATCTTTGGGTCTTAAAATAATACGCTTTGCTACCAATTGTATGCAATAAATTTAAAGTCTTTTTCAAATAGCATCAAAAAACCGTTTTTAGTAACGAATTGCACGCTAGAATTGCCTTGATAGGTCATTTTAACATTCGGAGACGTTTAAGGGTGTTCTTGATTTTGGTATCTTTGGGTCTTAAAATAAGACCCTTTGCTACCAATTTTATGCAATAAATTTAAAGTCTTTTTCAAATAGCATCAAAAAACCGTTTCAAGTAACGAATTGCACGCTAGAATTGCCTTGATAGGTCATTTTAACATTCGGAGACGTTTAAGGGTGTTCTTGACCCTTTGCTACCAATTTTATGCAATAAATTTAAAGTCTTTTTCAAATAGCATCAAAAAACCGTTTCAAGGAATTGCACGCTAGAATTGCCTTGATAGGTCATTTTAACATTCGGAGACGTTTAAGGGTGTTCTTGATTTTGGTATCTTTGGGTCTAAAATAAGACCCTTTGCTACCAATTTTATGCAATAAATTTAAAGTCTTTTTCAAATAGCATCAAAAAACCATTTTAGGTTATGAATTGCACGCTAGAATTGCCTCGGTACGTCATTTTAACTATCGGAGACGTTTAAGGATGTTCTTGATTTTGGTACCTTTGGGTCTTAAAATAAGACCCTTTGCTACCAATTTTATGCAATAAATTTAAAGTCTTTTTCAAATAGCATCAAAAAACCGTTATGAGTAATGAATTGCACGCTAGAATTGCCTTTATAGGTCATTTTAACATTCGGAGACGTTTGAGGGTGTTCTTGATTTTGGTATCTTTGGGTCTTAAAATAAGACCCTTTGCTACCAATTTTATGCAATAAATTTAAAGTCTTTTTCAAATAGCATCGAAAAACTGTTATAAGTAATGAATTGCACTCTAGAATTGCCTTGATAGGTCATTTTAAAAATCGGAGACGTTTAAGGGTGTTCTTGATTTTGGTACCTTTGGGTCTTAAAATAAAACCATTTGCTACCAATTTTATTCAATAAATTTAAACTCTTTTTCAAATAGCGTCAAATAACCATTTTAGGTTATGAATTGCATGCTAGAATTCCCTTGATAGGTCATTTTAACATTCGGAGACGTTTAAGGGTGTTCTTGATTTTGGTATCTTTGGGTCTTAAAATAAGATCCTTTGCTACCAATTTTATGCAATAAATTTAAAGTCTTTTTCAAATAGCATCGAAAAACAGTTATAAGTAATGAATTGCACGCTAGAATTGCCTTGATAGGTCATTTTAACATTCGGAGACGTTTAAGGGTGTTCTTGATTTTGGTATCTTTGGGTCTTAAAATAAGACCCTTTGCTACCAATTTTATGCAATAAATTTAAAGTCTTTTTCAAATAGCATCAAAAGATCATTTTAGGTTATGAATTGCATGCTAGAATTGCCTTGATAGGTCATTTTAACATTCGGAGACGTTTAAGGGTGTTCTTGATTTTGGTATCTTTGGGTCTTAAAATAAGATCCTTTGCTACCAATTTTATGCAATAATTTAAAGTCTTTTTCAAATAGCATCAAAAAACCGTTATGAGTAATGAATTGCACGCTAGAATTGCCTTGATAGGTCATTTTAACATTCGGAGACGTTCAAGGGTGTTCTTGATTTTGGTATCTTTGGGTCTTAAAATAATACGCTTTGCTACCAATTGTATGCAATAAATTTAAAGTCTTTTTCAAATAGCATCAAAAAACCGTTTTTAGTAACGAATTGCACGCTAGAATTGCCTTGATAGGTCATTTTAACATTCGTAGACGTTTAAGGGTGTTCTTGATTTTGGTATCTTTGGGTCTTAAAATAAGACCCTTTGCTACCAATTTTATGCAATAAATTTAAAGTCTTTTTCAAATAGCATCAAAAAACCGTTTCAAGTAACGAATTGCACGCTAGAATTGCCTTGATAGGTCATTTTAACATTCGGAGACGTTTAAGGGTGTTCTTGATTTTGGTATCTGTGGGTCCTAAAATAAGACCCTTTGCTACCAATTTTATGCAATAAATTTAAAGTCTTTTTCAAATAGCATCAAAAAACCATTTTAGGTTATGAATTGCACGCTAGAATTGCCTCGGTACGTCATTTTAACTATCGGAGACGTTTAAGGATGTTCTTGATTTTGGTACCTTTGGGTCTTAAAATAAGACCCTTTGCTACCAATTTTATGCAATAAATTTAAAGTCTTTTTCAAATAGCATCAAAAGACTGTTTTAAGTAATGAATTGCACGCTAGAATTGCCTCTGTACGTCATTTTCACTTTCGGAGACGTTCAAGGGTGTTCTTGATTTTGGTACCTTTGGGTCTTAAAATAAGACCCTTTGCTACCAATTTTATGCAATAAATTTAAAGTGTTTTTCAAATAGCGTCAAAAGACCGTTTGAGGTAATGAATTGCACGCTAGAATTGCCTCGGTACATCATGGTGGATGAACCCCATTTTCTTTTGTGACCAAAAATATTAAAACTCAATAAAATTTATTAAAACCCATTCAGTTTTCTCTTAAAGTTTTCATTCGGTTTGTTACTTTATTCCTTTTGACTATAATTTCTTCAACCTTTTTGCAAATTGTTTATATGTTTTGCGCAATTTACGTACAAATTCACCATAAGCCAGCATATGATACACTCTCTTATACAAAAAAGACAAAAAAGCCTTTTATCTTGCAGGACTGAATAAATTGTGAATCCGAGTCTGTGTCACCATCACTGCTATCTTTAAAACATTTTGATCATCTTGATGGTTGGAATTTTTTTCTTATTCTTAAAGAATGTCTCGTCATGTTTTATGCAAATAATAGCTTTGGAAATTATCAGGCAAATAACGTCAGAGAAAGAACTTGTGATTAAAATTCAAAAACTATGCATTAAATAGAAGACATTGTTTTCAATTGGATTCTGTTCTGATTTGTTACAAATAGTCTTGTTAATTTTTAGATAGTCTTCATCCGGTATTAAGTTAATAATGGTGTCAATTTACATTTCAAAGGTTCTAGTTTGTTTTCACACTTTCAAAGGTTATTCAAGAACAAAGGGATGTTTTTACCTGTTTGTAAAGCTTCAATATGGGGGTCAAGACTGAAACTTTGCCCTAGACCTCAAAAAAACATCTGAGATACATTGTCTCGTGACATCATGTGAAGTTTTCCCGAATTTTGTTAAGAATTCTAAGAGATTTTCGTTTACAAACGCTAGTTTTAGCAAAAATTAATATAGTTTAATTATAGTTTAAAATTAAAAACGAGATTTTTCTAGCGTTTGAAAATTTTGATAGGAAATATTTCCGGCTTAAAAAATTCGGTGGGATTAATTTTCACTTGCCCTCAAACCACTCGATTTGTTTCAATATTCATATTTTTCTCCTACGGAGGAGACTTTCCTTCCCATCATGCCCAGCAAGGCATGTGCCAACAAAATTTTTCACTTTGAAAACAACATGGCTTCCAAGAAAATTATTATCGACAACTGTGTACTTATCCCAGTGGAAATA